CCGTGTAACCCTAAACTTTTCATACGAAACATTTTTCTCTATCCCTACTAGTTTTCGAGATATTTGACTGGATCACTTCAGATGGTCCACCCTGTAGATGCTATGGTGAGATCCCGAGATCAGAAAACTTTTTTTTTTGTGTGCCGGTGTTATTTAGTATTAGTCATTTAATATTAGTTATTGTTTGGTAATTCCTGATTATTAATTAATGATTAATTACTAATTTTTGAATATTGATTGAATTTTTGTTGTTGATTATTGTTTATTGATTTATTCAATGTTGATTATGTAATAGTTATTAATTACTGATCATTAATTACTATTTATTGATTTATTGTTAAATATTTACTATTTATTGTTGTTATTAATTATTAATTATTGATTTATATTTGATCTTGATTAATATATTTATTTAGTTTTAATTAGAAAAACTTATTAAATGTTAAAACTTATAAAAATGAATTTCCGAGTATAAATTATAAATTAAAAATAAGCATTTTGTAAATAAGACAAATAAATAGAATATTCATTGGTTATTGGTTATTATTTGATTATTCATTATTGAATATTGATTGATTTTTCATAATTAATGAATTATTAGTTATTGATTATTAATATACTTTTCATTGAAAAAAAATAAGATATTTTTATATTAATTTACAAAATGCCACGACGTAAAATAAATCGCATTTTAGAAGAAGAAGAACAATTTCGACAACAACGTCTTGAAAGAAATGCAGAAAATCAACGTCGTCGTCGTCAAATTGCGAAAACAACAATTACTAATGTCATTTTACCAAATACAGTTAGTCAAACAAATTATAGTGTTATATTTGCGTTACTGGTACCATACATAATAATAATCGTATAATAGAATCAAATAATGAAGTAGTTGGAGAAAATTCTGTAAATACTGTACCATTACATCAACAACGTGCAGAGTATCAATTTCATTATCAATCACGGAAAAAAAAACAACCTTGTTTAAATATTAATAATACAAATATTAGTAGTACCTTAATTAATGAAATAGTTGAATATTAGATTGGTCTCATGAATGTGTCTTGTGTTCATTGTAACGCAAGACATTTTGCAGCTGAAAAAGTTTCTAATAAAGGAAATTCATTTCATGATTGTTGTAATCATGGTGCGGTTTATTTGGAACCATTACCTCAATTTTGCACAATTTCTTCGTAATTTATTCGATTGTAGTCATGCAAAATCCAATAATTTTTTTCAGCATATTCGTAGTTATAATAGCTCATTTTCATTTGCATCATTTAATGCTAATTTAGTTAATTTTCAAAATAGACGACCAGGTCCCTATTGCTTTAAAATACAAGGACAAATTTATTATCAAATAAATACAGCATTATATGCTGCTCAAAATGAAAATCCGACTTATGGACAGCTTTTTATTATAGATTCTAGAGAAGCAATAAATTATCGTCCTTTTGAAAATTCAGAGTTAGATTTAGAAACTATACAAAATCTTGAACGTATAATGCTAGAATTGAATATATTTGCTCAATCTTATCAAATGATGGGGGAAGAATTAGAAAATCAACAACGATTAGAAATAGAATCTGGAGAATTGTTGCCAGAATTACAATTATTATTTACAATAAAACCTGGTATGGATCGACGTCGATATAATGCTCAAAGAACTAATGAAGTAGCAGCTGTTTTTTGTACTACTGCTGATGGAGAAATTCCAGAATCATATGTAACAATACGTAATAAAAGTACCAAAACTTTACAAAATGTTAGTACCATGGATCCAAATGTTGAACCATGGATATATCCCTTATTTTATCCATACGGTACTCAAGGATGGCATTGCAATTTAACAAAATTAAATAGTAATAAACGAATATTTAGAAGCAAGTATAATTAAATATCGCATGGCTATTCGTGATGAGTTTAACGTTTTTTTATTAGGTCGACGTTTATTTCAACAATGGCTTGTTGACAATTATGTAAAAATTGAAAAGGATAGAATAAATTATTGTAAAGATCATATCAAAAAGAATTGCGTACTGAAACATATCAAGGTTTAAAAGATTATATACAAACTATTGCAAATAATTTAAATGGACGTATTGGAAAGATAGTTATACTTCCATCCACATTTATTGGATCACCTCGTAATATGTTACAAAATTATCAAGATTCAATGGCAATTGTTAGTAAATTTGGTAAACCAGATCTTTTCATTACAATGACTTGTAATTCAAAATGGCGCGAAATCGAAGAAAATCTTTTACAAGAAGAACAAGCTTCTGATAGACCTGATATTTGTGCACGTGTTTTTAATATTAAAAAGGATTATTTAATTGATTTAATTGTAAAGCAAAAATTTTTTGGAGAAGTAGCAGCATTTGTATATGTTATTGAATTTCAAAAACGCGGTTTACCACATATTCACATGTTAGTTACTTTAAAATACAATTTTAACTCCACAGGTTGTTGACAAATATATTTCTGCTGAAATTCCTGATCCATGTGAAAATCATATTTTACATGACATAGTTATGAGAAACATGATTCATGGACTTTGTGGCGATTGGTGTTTGGTAGATGGAAAATGTTCAAAACATTATCCTAAACCATATCTTGAAAAGACTAGAATGGATGAAGATGCTTATCCTTACTATCGTCGACGAAATAATGGCAAGAATTTTGACCGTCCTGGTGGCTATATAGTTGACAATCGTTATGTAGTTCCGTATTGTCCTATTTTATCGATTATTTTTAATTGTCACATAAATATTGAGATAATTTCAAGTATCAAATCGGTTAAATATCTATATAAATATATTTATAAAGGACATGATGTCGCTGCTATAACAATTGAGCCAATAACAGATAATGTAATTATTGATCATGATAAAATACGTAATTTTATAGAAACTCGTTATGTTGGATCTGTAGAAGCCTGTTAGCGTATTCTTGAAAAGAAATTACAAGATAAAAGTCATACTATAGTACGTTTGCCAGTCCATCTTTCGAACGAACAAAATGTTATAATTGAAAATGAAGTTATTGAAGAAGCAATGAATGACGCTTTAAATCAAGTTACAATGTTAATTGATTATTTCTCCTTAAATTTACGCGATGAAGAAGCAAGACAATATTTATATGTAGAAATTCCACGCTATTATACGTTTAAGAAAGAGAAAATTAATGGAAGAAATGTATCACGTTGGATCAAACGCAAAAGTCATTATAATTGTATAGGACGAATGTATTCCGTTAGTCCAACACAAACAGAATTGTTTTATTTACGACTATTATTACTGACTATAAGAGGAACTACGAGTTTTAATGATTTAAGAACTGTAAATGGAGAAATATGTCAATCGTTTTCAGCAGCATGTCTAGCTTTAGGTTTAATTGAAGATGATGAGGAATGGGAAAGATATGAATGAAGCTGTTGGATGGACGATGCTCCGACAACTTCGTAGACTGTTTCTACGTATACTATTACATTGTCAACCGTTCCTGAAGAGCTCTGGGAAAATTTTAAAGTAACAATGTCAGAAGATTATGTTCGATACTTTGGATTGTTACAAGGACAAAGGAAAGCATATACGCAAATTAATACTATGCTTATTGCTGAAGGTAAAAGTCTTGCCGATTTTCCACAAATGGAACAATTGATAGAAAACGATGAAGAGGATGATTATAGAACACTTGAAGAAATTATAGAAGTTGGTACCAGACAATATGAACAATTAAATGATAAGCAGAAAGAAATAGTAGATCTTGTATTAAACAGACTAGATACTAATAATTACAATATTAATTGTATTTATATCGATGGTCCAGGTGGTTCAGGAAAAACGTTTATATACACGACTATCTGTCATTTAGCCAAAATTCGAAATAAACATATATGTACAATGGCTTTTACGGGGATTGCAGCGACATTATTTCCAGCAGGAAAAACAGTTCACAAAACATTTGGATTGCCAGTTCCATTATTTGCTGATTCATCATCCAGCATTAAAATTCAATCTAAGGAAGCTCGTTATTTAAAAGAAATAGACATTTTTATTTGGGATGAAGCGCCAATGGCTCCACGATATGCTCTAGAGATTGTGAATCGAACGTTACGTGATATCATGAATAATGATTTACCTTTTGGTGGAAAAATCATCGTGTTAGGTGGATTTCAGACAACTACTCCCTATTAAAATACATGGTACTCGAAGTGAAATCGTAAATATTTCAATCAAATTTAGTCATATTTGGAAACATTTTATAAATTTCTCTTTAACGGAAAATATGCGAGTTCTTCCAGAGGAAACTGAATTTGCAAAGTTTCTATTGGATATGGGAGATGGCGTATTAAATGATTCTAACGATAATATACAACTTTCTAATTGTTGTATCGCACCCATTAATGCTGATATTGTACAAGATATATATGGTGATTTGATACAAAATAAAGAATTCAATAAAATAGCAAAATAATAAAATAGCAATACTTTCCGCACGAAATGCTGATGTAGATGAAATTAATAAACGTGTTGTCGAATTATTAGAAACGTTTGAAGAACGAATTTATACAAGTACAGATATAGTACTGAAAACTGCGGTGATAATGATGACATTGGTGAAGTCTTACTACCAGAATATTTAAATACTTTGTCACCGTCATCTCTTCCACCTTATGAATTACGTTTAAGGCCGAATTGTGTCATTATGTTGATTAGAAATTTTAGTATCAATGAAGGTCTTTGTAATGGCACTAGATTAATGATTATAGCACTTGGCGATCATTTATTGAAATGCAAAATCTTAACAGGTGATAAAGTAGGAGATATTGTTTTTTTGAATCGTATCACGCTATATTGTGAAAATATATATCCTTTTACTTTTAAAAGAAGACAATTTCCGATAAAATTAGCTTTTGCTATGACAATTAACAAATCACAAGGACAGACATTTGATAGAGTAGGAGTTGATCTTCGAAAAGATGTTTTTAATCATGGGCAACTTTATATTGCCTTTTCACGAATACGTTCTTGGCAAGCATTAAAAGTTTATCTAGGTAGACAGCGTGATAATAAACAAGTTAAAAATTACGTATATAAAGAAGTATATGTATGATTCCTTTTCTTTTAAATTATTTAGAAAAGATATATTTTGATGTATTGAATATGTATTAAAATAATTTATACATAAATTATTTAGCTATTAAATTTAGATAATATATTATTTAGTTAATATAATTTAACTAATATAGGTTTATTTAGCTAATAAATTTGTTCAATTCTCTTTCTGTGCTTCTAATGTTAGTTGAAATAAGTGAAAATTGTCATTTATGTTAAAGAATTAACTTCATATGGAAAAAGTACGCATGGAATAGAGTCAAATATATTTATTAATATATTGATTTTCTTATTGTGCTTACTTCGTGAACATTTGTTATTATTTTACTTATTTCAACTGACAGAAGGACGGAAAGAGAATTACAAAAGTGTTAATAAATATTGGTCTAAATATAGAACAAGGCGTAGACATAAAGAACCGAAGAACAAATAGAAGAATTGAAAGATGTGGACCCAATCGATTTATTAACAAAAATAAGGAAATAGATGCCAGATGATTACACAATGTAAGTACTAATAGGCATGTATGTCCATACAGGACATTCATACTGAAAATGTATTCCTACCCTCTAAATTCTTTAGAATCTCACTCTAAAGAATAGAATCTCATTTTAAAGGAAGGAGTAGAATCTCACTTTTAATCTCACTTTTTATTGATTTCAATTCTAATAATACAAACAGTCAGTAATTTCTTTTTCCGAAAAAATTTTTACCTTTGACTGTCAAATTGCTCATTTTTACTCAACACTAAGAAACATACATTTAAATATTCCAAAATTATATACATTTAAATATTCTAAAAATCCATAAAAATAGGAGTTTTCAAATGAAAATAATGATTTGAACCAGGAGATGGACCCGACAAAGCGTTTTTCATTTTCTATTATATTTCAACACAGGTGAGAGATACGTCAAAATAGTGCAAAAATGAAGGGAATTAAATCATCTTTCCAATGGCACCTTCGATTTTACGATCGGACTTTATTTACGCCTTATAGAAAGGAAAAACTGCAAATAGGTCCAATTTAGACCACTCTCCCCTATATTATTTAAGGTTTGAATCCTATATGTTCCTATATATATAATATCAACCTATATATAGTAGATATATATATATATATAATATATATATATAAAATAT